TCTGCCAAACAGTTGCTATTTCACTTCACTGTTATTTCACTTCTGTTTGATACAATTGAGATAATAGAGAAACCATGTTGGTTTGGGCCTGGAGTCACATATGAGCTCAGACTCTCCTTCTTGCTGCGCAAGGGAAGCAGGAAGTAGGGGAGGTTCGGAGACAAAGTTGAGACAAGAGGCAGCGAGCACAAGGGTTCAGGAGGGACAGAAGCAGCAGAGAGGGTGAAGTGATGAGTGGGCCAAGTCCAGACTTGCCATTTCCCTCCTGAACCTCCCAACTCATCACCTCTCTTGAGCACAACTGGTTCTGTAAATCATTGCATTGCTGGTCCACAAAGGATTCTTTTCAGTCAATGTGAGCAGCAGCATCTCTGCTGGGAAAAACATCAATCGACCCTGAAATTGCTCCTCTCCTCAGAAACAAATATTTGCATCCACAGAACTCATGATACCTGAGAAACTACTCACTGATACACAGCGAGTCAGACAAGCTCCTCAAATGGCAGCTACTTTTCTCCACCATCTCTGCTCCAGAGCTGTCTCTCATGCACTCTTATGGAACGAGCTGCCAGTCAATCAGCTGTTGCCATTTGGTTTGGTGGCTACATCGAGTGGGATGGCTTATTTTCAGTTTCTTCTTAGGCATTCCCCTGGGTTTGAGGATGACTTGCTTCCACTCCATTTTGAAGGGTTCTGAGATGGCTGATTAGTCCAATGCGCATTCTGCAGACTCTGCCACATGCAAGGCAAGTGGTGCTTTGAGAGTAGGGTAGATGAGTTGTTGGGAGGTTTGTACATTTCCTCTGATGCCTTGACTTTGCCCCTGCATATTACCAATGAGGTCTCCCACAGACCCCTTTGCCCAACTCCAACGCTCTCCCTCCATCTAGACCCCTTCCTCTGGCCTTTTACCTGCACTTGATCTGTTCATTGAGAACTGTCGACGTGACATTAGTCGCCTCAATTTCGCTGCCTCTCTCACCAAATCCAACCTGTCTCCCTCCAAAGTGACTGCACTCCGTGCACTCCGGTCTAAACCTGACTTTGTCATTAAACCTGCCGATAAGGGTGGTGCTGTTGTAGTCTGGCATACTGACCTCTACCTTGCAGAGGCTGAGCGCCAACTCTCAGATACCTCCTCCTACCTTCCCCTGGACCTTGACCCCACCATGGCACATCAGGCCATTGTATCCACTATTCATTTCATCTGGTGATCTCCACCCTCCGCTTCCAACCTAATAGTCCCCCAACCCCGCACAGCTCGTTTCTACCTCCTGACAAAAATCCACAAACAGGACTATCCAGGAAGACCCATTGTTTCAGCCTGCTCGTGCCCCACAGAACTCATCTCTTCCTATCTTGACCACCTCCCCCCCACCCCGGTCCAATCCCTGCCTACGTATATCCATGATTCCTCTGACACCTTACATCGGTTTCAAAACTTCCAGTTTACCGGTTCCAGCCACCTCCTCTTTACCATGGATGTGCAATCCTTTTACACATCCATTCCCCACCAGGAGGGTCTTAGGGCTCTCCGCTTCTTCCTGGAGCAAAGACCTGAACCATCCCCACCCACCGCCACCCTCCTCTGCTTAGCCGAGCTTGTCCTCACCCTCAACAACTTCTCTTTCAACTCCTCTCATTTTCTTCAGGTAAGAGGGGTTGCCACGGGTACCCGCATGGGCCCTAGTTATGCCTGTCTCTTCACGGGGTACGTGGAACATTCCTTGTTCCAGGCCTATTCCGGCCCCCACCCACAACTCTTTCTCCAATACATCGATGATATCATCGGTGCTGCTTTCCTCTCTCATCTGGAATTGGAAAACTTCATCAATTTCGCCTCCAATTTCTACACTGCCATCACGTTCACCTGGTCTATCTCTGACTCCTCCCTTCCCTTCCTTGACATTTCTGTTTCCATTTCTGGGGATAGACTGGCCACTAATATCCATTACAAACCCACTAACTCCCACAGCTATCTGGACTATACATCCTCACACCCTGCTTCCTGTAAAGACCTCATCCCATTCTCTCAGTTCTTCCGTCTTTGTCACATATGTTCAGATGAAGCCAACTTCGACAAGGGAGCCTCCGAAATGTCCACCTTCTTCCTCAACTGAGGATTCCCCACCTCTGTTGTCGACAGGGCCCTCAACCATCTCCCGCACGTCCGCCCTCACCCCTTCTCTTCCCTCCCGCAACAGCGATAGGGTTCCCCTTATCCTCACCTACCATCCCACCAGCATCCACATCCAGAAGATCATCAGACGCCATTTCCACTACCTCCAGCGAGAAGCCGCCACCAGACACATATTCCCCTCCCCACCCTTGTCCACCTTCCGCAGGGACCGTGCCCTCCGGGACACCCTGGTCCACACTTCCTTCACCCCCAACACCTTCCCACAGCCCTACGGCACCTTCCCCTGTAACTGGCGAAGGTGCAACACCTGCCCATTTACCTCCTCCCTCCCCATTATCCAAGAGCCCAAACATACCTTCCAGGTGAAGCAACACTTCACCTGCACTTCCCAGAATCTAGTCTACTACATTCACGGCTCACAATGTGGTCCCCTCTACATTGGCAAAATGAAGCATAGACTTGGCGACCACTTTGCAGAACATCTACGTTCTGCTCGCAAAAAAGACCCTAAACTACCTGTTGCCTGCCACTTTAACACACCACCCTGTTCCCTGGCCAATATCCCTGTCTCTGGCTTGCTGCAGTGTTCCAGCAAAGCCCAACGCAAGCTAGAGGAACAACACCTCATTTTCCGCCGGACATTTTCCACCTCACATCCCTCCGGACTCAATATTGAGTTCAATAATTTTAGGGCCTAAACTCTCCCATGTCCCAGACAAGTCACTAACAGTCCCCATTAACAACTACTCACCCTCCCAGCCTGATCGTTAGCAACTTCTTCGTCCAACTGTCTTTCTCTCTCTTTGGACTCTATCCTATCGTTTACTCCCTACCCCACCCATCTCCCTATTTTCTGCATATAAACTGACATTTTCCCAGCCACTATCCGTTCTGAGGAAGGGTCACCGGACCTGAAACGTTAACTGTTTTTTCCTTCACAGATGCTGCCAGACCTGCTGAGCTTTTCCAGCAACTTTGTTTTTGTTCCTGATTTATAGCATCCGCAGCTCTTTCGGTTTTTATTTAGGTCTCTAAATGTACTTGGTGTCTTCCATTTTGGTCAAATAGGCCAGAGATGCCCATGAGTCAGTGAGAATGCTTGAGCTTTTTCAGGAATGCTTTGAGTCCAGTCATCTACAATTGCTGTACACTCAAGTGTAGATATCTCTTCCTCCAAGTACAGACAATTTCAATATGACTCTGGCCTCAGACTGGCATGCAGATTTTTTGCCCATTTTGTTTGCAGGGCAATTTTTTGTTCTCTTGTTTCCTTAATATTTTCTGTTTATTATTATTATTATTGACCAAGATGAACCTGCTGACTTTTTATCATTGAATCATGGAAGGTTTTACAGCACAGAAAGAGGCAGCTTGGCCATTGTGTCTAGGCCAACTGAAAAACAAGCCAGCTCTATCTTACTTTAATGCACTCCGTCCATATCCTGAGAGGTTTATGCTTTTACTGCCCTTTTACTGAGTTCCAGACCCCTACCACCCTCAGGGTGAAGAAGATTTTCCTCATCTCTGCTTGAATATTTTCAGCGTTCATTTTAAATCTATGGCCCTAGTCACTGCCTCTCTGCTAAGGAAAACATTGTTTTTTTTCACATCCACTGTCTCCAGGCCCCCTCACAATTTTGCACATTTCAATCAAATCTCTCCTCAGCCTCCTCTGTTCCAAGGAGAATAACTCCAGCCTATCCAGTATTTCCTTATAGCTGCATTTTCCCAATCCTGGTACATTCTCATGAATCTCCTCTGACCCCTCTCCAGGGCAATTCTATCATTTCTGTGGCCACAATTGCACACAATCATACATGCCATTACCGCTTTCACCAGCCAGTCGGCAGCCCAGTGGCAAATCTATCTGATGGCAGCTGTGTCCAGACAGCCTGACAGACTCGGGCACCGCCTTCCAGGGAGCAACGCTTCTGTTTGGACGGGCGCCCTGTCATTTTCGTCCCACCTACACTCGTAAAGTTTGTTGCACACGCGGTGCAAGCATTGATAGATGAAAGAGAGGAGGGAAATTGATTGACAATCTGAGAGTCGAGGAGAGGGTGGAGAAAAAACGGAGTTGGTGTAAGGGACGAAGAAAGGAAGAGTTGACTAGACAGATATAACGATCTTTCAACCTCTTTCCCTCTAATATATTACCGAAGAGGGAAATGCGCTAGGCGTTAGTCAGGAATGCATCGTTTAAAATTACTGCCTTGCTTCACAGCCGGAGCCTGTCACTTTAGAGTCGAAAATATTTTGGGGAAACCCAACGGCTTTGTCAATCGGCCGTGGAAATGGCAACACTCCCCCAGGGGGCGAGCGACAAGCGGCGTGAGCGGTGCTGATAGAAATCCCCTCCTGAAAGCTTCCAAATCCCCGATGAAAAAAAATGAGAATGGAGACACTCAGAACGAACCGTGAGTAAAACACCCGCCACAGATCCCGAACTCCACCTTATTTCACACCTACGTCGCAGATTTGTCAGCACATATGAAGAGAAAGAGGCAGATTAACATTAATTTGACGTTAGATCTCCAGTCTTAATTTTTGTTGATACTGACAGGTCGAATCTATCTCACTTTTGCTTCTTTCAAGTACTTTATTTCGAAGATTCGCTGCACTTTAAAGCTTACATCGTGGATTAAATACAAATAGATAATACTGAGTTGTCACAGTCATTTCCTATTGACAATCTGAGTGGATTTGAGTGGGTAAACGGCAGCTTTCTAACGCTATCCGAAGCAATTAAGGAAATTGAGTAAAAATTTATGGTTCACTTTAATTTTTGTTGTGTTGCGGTAAGTTTAGCGTAGCGATACTCAAGAATTCTAGATACCGCTATATAGAATCGTTAACCCTTGGTTATAAAGAATGAACCAACAAGTGCTCCTATGTTGTAGTATCTCACTTTATTCAAAACACATTATAAATAGAAATGCATTCATACAGCACACGGGACGGAAAAAAAGTCCTGCTCAAAATAAGCGCTAAAAAATAATTAGCCCTTTGTGAGCAATTTTTCGCGTCATTTAACCTACAGGTTATAAGCGTTTGAATTTACAATGATGTAATAGAGGGCAGTAGTTCAAGAAGGCAGCTCACCACCTTCTCCAGGGCGATTAGGAATGAGTATTGACTCATTCTATGAAGGAATAAAACAAATATGCGAGTCTTTGGTCAAAAAGTGGTGTTTGAGAAAGTCAGATTTGTCACACTTTGCGGGTGCAGCGTTAACCAGAAATGCTGGATACAGGTGACAGGCTGCCTGAAGGCAATATTCCCACAACCCAACTCAACTATGAAATACAGATAAAGGCCCTCTGGTGTATTCCGCCTGGCCAAAACACCTGGATGCCATGTGCATCACAGTACACTCTCTCTACACAGATCAATGTAATCTCCTGTCAAAAATAGAGAAAGGGGGAAGAGATAGAAGAAATAGAGTAAAATTACGGGAAGATTCATTTCTAAACCTGATGGTAGCCTGTTCCACAGGGCCACTATTCTCTGGGAAAAGAATCACCTCCTGACAACTAACTGACCTGGTTCTGGGCTTATAAGCTTCAAATGATGACTGCCACCTCCCCCCCCCACAACGTCCCTAGCCTATTTATTTGAAACGAACAGTTAACTGGAGCACAATCTACTCCCTTCATAATCTTTTTAGACAGTCACTCCGAATTAAGGAAGACTTGGTTTCACTCCAGTTCAATAGATTCTGAGATGGCTGACTGAGTCCAATACATGCTCGGCAGGCTCTGCCACATGTAGACAGGTAGTGATTAAAGGGTCAAATAGGTGGATTCTTTGCAGGTTTAGGCGCTCCCTCTGATGTCTCCACTTGGCTTTTGTGTTTCCATCAAAGTCTCTTGATGGTGTCGGTATCTTCCTAAATGAGTCTTCTCCATTTTGGTTGGTCTTAAGCTAGGGTCTTTCATGAGCCAGTGGGGGATGTTTGGCCTCTTCAGTGAGGCTTTGAGGACATTTCTGAATTTCCACTGTCCTACTGGGAGTCTCCAAGTCAAGCATAACAAATGGGAGCAAGAGGAAGACATTCGGCTCTGCCATTCAATAAGACCATAGCTGATTTTCTACTTTAACGCAATTTTTCTGCACTTTAACTGGGATAGGGATTCCGGAGTCTAATGTTAAACATACAAGCAACTTGTTCTACCCAGCAGAGCTGGTCTTGAGTGATCAGCGTCTCAATGCTGGACAGGTTGGTTTGGGAGAGGATGCTGTTGTTGGACCACCATTCTTGCTACTGGATTTGGAGGATCTTGTGAAAACACCAATGGTAGTATATCTCCAGTGTTTTGAGGTGCCATTATCATTTGAACCTTGATGAGATACACCCCTTAATCTATGCTTCTCTAATCTGTAGAATTCCAACCTCACTTGTCTGTTTTGATAACTAAGATTGTAACTAATTAATCTTTGCCTTAGGCAACTGAGTCACGGTCCTATTGCTACTCAGTGGAAAAATAGATCTGAGGGCTGGTCATCAATTAATACATGTGTGACTGGCATAGTAGCTGATATGATAGTGCTCTGCTGAATGCATTGGATGCAAATATTTGAAGATAATGGTCACCTTGATTGATCGCTGCCAACACTGTACATTAATTGCCTGTTGGCTGCAAACGTCCTTGTAGTAGCTGGCAAAATTCTTCAAGTGGCTCCTTGCTGACCCAGGACATGTGGATGAAGTTCCACTTGGTCATTACAAAACATGGCACGGACCAGAGATATAGTTGGTGCCATTATGAAAAGCAGCTTAGCTGCCTATTGATTGTGCTCCATGTCTCCTTTGCTATTGTACCACTTCAATCCTAAAATACTGCATTTGGGGCACATCCAAACCAACTCTCAGGGTGCGCTTTGTCTTCAGTTGTTACCTGCCTCTGCACTTTGATGGCTTGACTTCTTCTGAAAGTTGATATCAAACCAACTCTTTTTTAGGTGCCCTATCACCTGCATCTGCTCTGCCATAACCCTGTACATATTTAACTTGTAGATCACTTTCCAGTGATTTAGTGGGCATTATGTATTTGGGATGCTTAAACCCAAACTTGTAACTAAAATATAATTATACCCAAAAAAGTTTAAAGTCATATTCAGAAAATAGTACATAAATATTTGAAACAAGAAGTCTCCAATAAAAGCACAGCACTAAAAATGTTATGTAAACAGGACCCAAGTTACACAATAAGTTCATTTAAAATGAGCTGTGTGAGGGGGAAAATGCAGTCCTGTTGCAAAAGCTGAATAATTGCTCTTGATACTCAATTAAATATTTGCGAATACATCCGTGGCATCAAGGCAAGATGAAATCTGTGCCGACACTCTAGCACACGATGTAGCCAGAGGAAAAATTATGCACAGATAAATAGTGTGCCTACAGTTCGTGCCACTGCACGACCCCTGCCCACCCCCAATCCCCCGCACTTGTGCAGCCAACACAGATGACAAAAAATCTAAATTCAGTTTTCTATAATGTAATAATATTGTAAACCCCTTAGCTGGTTACCCCACCATCCTCTGATAGATGTCACATTCCTCTGGTACAATCTATCACTGTACCTGAAAACATTTGGTAAAATGGCACTCTATATTGTAGCATCAACACCATGCGCTATGTAGTAGCAAGCACATTTCCTCTACTCTGTGAGATATGCTGAAGGATTTGCACTTCAGGCGTTCAAGGGAACGGAAACAGTATAAACCAGAGTTGATCCCTGGGTAGTTCTTGTGTATCTCCTAGCAGCAATGGCAAAGACCTAGAAGCAGGTTTCCATCCACTCAGCTGATGTACAAACTGTCACTGATGACACTGGAAGCAAATTAAAGTGATGAACAAAGATGTATTGACTTAAATGCAATTTTTCCTAATGTAATGGTCCCAATACACTAAGGCTGCTGACAAAATTGATGGGAATGTCCCAGGAGGTACTGTCTCTTATGTCATTGGAGTAGTGAGTCATTGTGATTCAAAGAATCTTCCAGCAAAGAGGCCACTTAACCCATCACGCATGTGCTGGCTCTTTGAAAAGAGCCATCCAATTTAGTCCTAGCGAGTTCTTCTCCCCTAGAACTTTCTAAATCAACCTCCTTCAAGTACTTATCCATTTTTCGTTAAAGTTCCAATGATACCTGATTTTACCACCCTTTCAGGTAGTGCTCCAGATCTTAAAAATCCTTTGTGTGAAGAAATTTCTCATATCCTCTTTCATTTTTATGCAGCTGATTTTAAATCTACAACTTCTAATTACCAACCCACTTGTCTATCAAAACTCTCATGATTTTAAATATCTCTATTTAAATAAGAAGCATTTCTACACACAAAGGGTGGTAGGTAGAGAACAAAGAACAAAGAAAATTACAGCAGGCCCTTCGGCCCTCCAAGCCTGCGCCGATCCAGATCCTCTATCTAAACCTGTTGCCTATTTTCCAAGGATCTGTATCCCTCTGCTCCCTGCCCATTCATGTATCTGTCTAGATACATCTTAAATGACGCTATCGTGCCCGCCTCTACCACCTCCGCTGGCAATGCGTTCCAGGCACCCACCACCCTCTGCGTAAAGAACTTTCCACGCATATCTCCCTTAAACTTTTCCCTTCTCACCTTGAAATCGTGACCCCTAGTAATTGAGTCCCCCACTCTGGGAAAAGCTTCTTGCTATCCACCCTGTCTATACCTCTCATGATTTTGTAGACCTCAATCAGGTCCCCCCTCAACCTCCGTCTTTCTAATGTAAATAATCCTAATCTACTCAACCTCTCTTCATAGCTAGCGCCCTCCATACCAGGCAACATCCTGGTGAACTTCCTCTGCACCCTCTCCAAAGCATCCACATCCTTTTGGTAATGTGGCGACCAGGACTGTATGCAGTACTCCAAATGTGGTCGAACCAAAGTCCTATACAACTGTAACATGACCTGCCAACTCTTGTACTCAATACCCCGTCTGATGAATGAAAGCATGCCATATGCCTTCTTGACCACTCTATCAACCTGCATTGTCACCTTCAGGGCACAATGGACCTGAACACCCAGATCTCTCTGTGTATCAATTTTCCCCGGGGCTTTTCCATTTACCGTATCGTTCGCTCTTGAATTGGATTTTCTAAAATGCATCACCTCGCATTTGAAGAAGGGTCTAGGCCCGAAACGTCAGCTTTCCTGCACCTCTGATACTGCTTGGCCTGCTGTGTTCATCCAGCTCTACACCTTGTTACCTCACATTTGCCTGGATTGAACTCCATCTGCCATTTCTCCGCCCAACTTTCCAATCTATCTATATTCTGCTGCATTCTCCAACAGTCCCCTTCACTATCTGCTACTCCACCAATCTTAGTGTCATCTGCAAACTTGTTAATCAGACCATCTATACCTTCCTCCAGATCATTTATGTATA